AGCTTTCACTTTCTTAAAACCTGAAACGGGGCCGGGCGTGGTGGCTCACACCTGTAATCCCAGCACTTTGGGAGGCCAAGGTGGGTGGATCACCTGAAGTCAGAAATTCGAGACCAGCCTGACCAACATGGTGTAACCCTGTCTCTACTAAAAATACAAAAATTAGCTGGGCATGATGGCACATGCCTGTAATCCCAGCTACGCGAAGACTGAGGCAGGAGAATCGCTTGAACCTGGGAGGCGGAGGTTGCGGTGAGCCAAGATCAGGCCACTGCACTCCAGCCTGGGCAACAAGAGCAAAACTCCATCTCAAAACAAAACAAAACAAAAACAACCTAAAGCAAGAAGAGCCTCTGAGGACTCTCTGGTTCTTCTTTTCCTTTCCCATGAAAACTACTCACTTGTTGATACCGTCTGCCCAGCTAAATATAGTCTAGTAGAAAGAACTTATGGCTGGGTACAAGATTTTGGTTATCCCAACTCCGACCCTCATTCAATGTGTAACCTTGGGAAGATGACTTGCCTCTGTGCCTCACTCAGTTCCTCACATCAGTTTCAGATGTATAATGAGGGAAATACTTGTCCCGAATTTGAAAGATGGAACAAAAAGCTATTTTAAAATTTTTTTAAAGAAAGTGTATCATTGTAGAGGGATTACTATTTTTAACTATCCAAACTCTGGCACATCCCCAGATCCAGCTCATCCATAAGAGCAAAAGAAGAATTTCCAAAAACTACAACACAGCATAGACTTTATTTTTTATTTTCTTGTAGGGAGGGATGTTGAATAAGTAACATATTCCCATGGTTTTAAAAATCAAATCATTCCAAAAGACAAGCAGTGAATAAGCTTCCCTCTGACAACTGTTTTCCAGTTCCCATCTCCAGAGACAACTTCATGGGTTACAATTTCTTGTATATCCTTCCAGAAATAATTGTTTTTATACCCATGTGTGTTTTCCTTGCCTTTCTTTTACTAAGGTATATAGTAGCAAACTATGTACATTGTTCTGCTCCTTATTTTTCTCACTAAACAGTATATCTCAGAGATCATTCCATATAAGACAGAATTCTGCCTCTGTGTGGAAATGTATAGTGATTTATTTAATCAGCTCCCTATTACTGGGCATTTAGATCGTTTCCAATCCTTTATTAAACAAGGTTGCAATTAATATCCATATGCACATTTCCAGAATAAGTTCCTAGAAACAGAATGGCTATATCAAAAAATAAATTGTGTATTTTTAATTTTTTATAAATCAGCAAGCTTTCATTTAGGTTGATCTTGTTTCATTCTAAGTGACGATACACAGAGCAGCCAACATTCACTTCGACATGGTCTTTTAAACCTGGGCTATTTTGATCTTTTCCCTCATATGGCATTACAACAGTGAGTACAGTTCTCCAGGCTTGAGGCCTTAGAAGTCTGTGGAATGGCAGCAAGTCCTCTCTATGAATAGCTGTCTCCCCGGTACTGCCACATTGGTGAGCACCATCTGGAATTATCTCATTCTGGAGAAACTCACAGACCCTTATTAAAAGTAAGCATCTGAGAACTTGGATCTTGGCTATCAGCTGTTTGGAATGATTCAACAGTAGTTTTAAAATACTATTTTATACCAAAATTGGAGAAAATAAAAGGCTGAAAATGGCAACAACAACAACAACAACAAAAGCCTACATTTAAATAATGAGTGTAAGTCAGAAGACTTTCTTCTTGGCTCCACAACCATTAAGTCACTGAAGATCTCTGGACCTCTTTGTCTTTGGGTATGAAATGAAGACTGTGGAGCAAATTATTTCTCAGGACCTTTCCTTCTTTGAGATTCTGAAGATTCAGATGCAGCATAAATGGTACTTGTCCTCCCAATCTCACCATTTTCAAAATGCAAGAAGTGTCACAAATGACTACATGATTACTATCCAAATGGGTGATACAATTGTGAAGGGATTTAGACAGTGATGTGCTGGTGAACAGGCTGGGGGCTGCGGTAGAGGGAACTGCTCTGATTTGTAGAATTTGTTGATTTCATGGTGTGATTACTTTCACATTACCAACATGACATCACTAAACTCAGAGCTGGGAAGAGATGCATGGCTGCTGGGATCCACCAAACCACCAGTTAAGAATGCAAAGAAGGCATTTTCTTCATACTATTATGCTGAGAGGACTTCATAAAAGAGGAAAGATTTGGACTAGGCATTGAAGGATATTGATTAGGACTTTCCATGGTAACTGACAGAAACAATTCAAACTAGCTTAAAGACAAAAAGAATACGCGAATGAGACTGTTTTAGCACAAGTATCTGGAAAAAGGGCTTTAATAATGTAGTCATGGCACTTGCTCCACCTTTCAGTTCTTCTTGGATCTACTTCTATTTGTGTATTGATGTCATTGTCTCCTGCCATAAGCAGGCTCTCTCCAAGTGCCAAGAAAAACATGGCTAGTGGCAGTCCAGGGGCTACCTCTTTGCAGTCAACAATTCAAAAGAAAAGCAATGCACTCTTATGGAGATCACGTGGAAAGACTGATTGGCTCACTTGGGTCTCATGCCCACCAGTTCAACTCCTAACTGGGCAGAAAAAGAAAGGGTACATAATTCACATGCCCCTGCTGCTGTAGCCAGAGAGCAGACAGAGCACTAGGATGGACCTTTCTTCCCCTACCACCCAAAACATGAGAGTCATCCAAACAGAGTTCCCCAATGGAAAAAGCCATGGATTTGTGGTAGAAATATGGGTAAGGCTTTGTGGAGAGGCAGAAGAAGATATAGTAATTAGAGGGAACGGCATATGTAGGTGCAGAAATGTAAACATTGATGGTGCATTTGGCAGTCAGTGAGAAAACCACCCTAACCAAAGCAGAGCTTACCTATAAGACAGTGCTTTGCAATAGAGGGCAATTTTGCCCCTCTGGAAAGATTTGGCAAAGTCTGAAGACATTTTTGGTTGTCCCAGCTGGGGTTGAGGGGTACTGCTACTAGCAGGTAGTATCTAGTGGGTAGAGGCCAGAGATCCTGATAATCCTACAATGCATAGGACAGTCCCCTCAACAAAAAAAAAAGGGTGAGTTTAGTAGGCTTTATCCTCTGTTACACAGGGAAGCATTAGAAAGATGTTTAGAAAACTAAGGTAGCTTGTACATACCCTGCTTCTTCTGCCTGGCACCTCTCCTCACCTTGGCCACCTTTGTATGACTAGCCCTTTTTTTTTTTTTTTTTTTTTTTTTTTTTTTTTTTTTTTTTGAGATGGAATCTTGCTGTGTTGCCAAGGCTGGAGTGCAGTGGCACAATCTCCACTCACTGCAAGCTCCGCCTCCCAGGTTCACGCCATTCTCCTGCCTCAGCCTCCCGAGTAGCTAGGAGTACAGGCACCCACCACCACGCCCGGCTAATTTTTTTGTATTTTTAGTAGAGACGGGGTTTCACCATGTTAGCCAGGATGGTCTCGATCTCCTGACCTCGTGATCCGCCTGCCTCGGCCTCCCAAAGTGCTGGGATTACAGGCATGAGCCACCGCGTCCGCCGGCTGGCTAGCCCTTTTTTGTCCTTTGGGACTCAGCTTAAAAATCACCTACTGAAGAGATCATCTAGATTTTTCAATCAAAATAGGTTATCTCACAGACTTCATACCATTATTCTTTCCCATGTTTTCTTCTTATTTTCACCACAATTTTGAATTATATGTTTATTTGGTTGCTGGTTTCACATCTGTCTCGTAAGCTCTGTGGAAGCAGAGACCTTCCTTATTTGTTCATCACTGTAACCCCAACATCAAGCAGAGTGCCTGGTGCATTGTAATTGTTGATATTTAATCAACTGATTAATCTGAAGGTTGATAGTAGGATTGAAATGCGGTTGAGCATAGGAGGTGGATAGAAAGAGGAAAGAAGGCAGTCCTCTAGATTTCTTCTCAGCTTGTTCTGATCCACACTCATCTCCTTTCCCTGACTCACAGCACCTATAGTTCACAACATGACATGTCAGTTAGGATTTTAAGCAAACATGAATTTAATAAAAAAATCAAACTCAGAACCATTGCAGAACAATTTCTGGCTTGGGCTTGCAGGAATGAGTCCCAAAACCCAAAGCCCACCATCGTACTAACCCCACCACCCCAAGGGAACAGTTACTTCTGCCACAGTCAGCAGGCCAGCTACTGGCCCAGTCTGACTACAGGAACACAACATCTTAGGTGTAATCGGGGAATCAGGAACTGGCAGAACTCCAGAGTCACACTGCACCTTCCAGGTCACCACCAGCAAAGTAGATTCCTCCCAGGCTGCTGCCTCCTCTTCACGTAACTGTTTTGTTTTTGGTTTTTTGTTTTTCTTAACACAATTTTGAATTCAGGTCTTTCCCAGGTGCACAGGACTGGCTAAACCTAAATTATAATGGGAGCCCCAACAGCAAGGAGTCTAAGAAATGGATTTTTAGCTTTCTAGTCTCTGTTGTGTAGGAAAGCACACCAAGAAGAGTTTGGACAATTGTGGAACAAGCCAATCTGCCGCATCTGCCTCATGGCTGCCCCACTCTGTGGCCATCAGTGTCATAATATCATTCATCTTCTCTAGATGGATACTAGCATGTTCTCTAGATGTGAGTGGATGTAAAATGAATTGAATGAAATTGAAGGGGAAAATCCTCCTCTTTCATGTTCACACTTTGCACCTTTCTTATGGCACTTAATTGTATTTTGCCTCCTAGTGTAATTTGTGTTCTCATTCAGAAGTTCATCTCTTTATCTCCATACTCATAATAGGTAATAAATGTTTATAGACTGTGGCCGGTGCGGTGGCTCACGCCTCTAATCCCAGCACTTTGGGAGGCCAAGGCAGGTAGACGACCTGAGGCCAGGAATTCAAGACCAGCCTGGGCAACATAGTGAAAACCCATCTCTACTAAAAGTACAAAAATTAGGCGGGTGTGGTGGTGCGTGCCTGTGTTCCCAGCTACTCAGCAGGCTGAGATAGGAGAATCTTTTGAACCTGGGAGGTGGAGATTGCAGTAGCTGAGATTGCACCACTGCACTCCAGCCTAGGCAACAGAGTGAGACTCCATCTCAAACAAACAAATGTTCGTAGACTGAATTCAAGACAGAGAGTAAAGACAGAGAGAGGCTAGGGAGAGGAAGTTCTAAGCCCCATTCTAGCTTGACACAGTTCCCACAGCTCGTAGAACTGCCACTTCAGAAGTATTTTGGATTGCCTGCTACATGAAGCCATCAGCACTGCAAGGAACCATAGGACAAGGACCCAGGAACTCTGCTAGGCTTTAGGAAACCTAGGTTCCAGGTATCCTTCAAAAGTTAGGAAAACATTTGCCCCCATTCATTCAGTCAGTAGTGTTTACTAAATGTTTCACACTGCCAGGTATAGCACCACTGCCTTTCTTATACTTTTCATTAACCTTTTTTTTTTTTCTAACCAATGGGAGCATGCCAGTGATTTCAACCTCTGTCATAATGGAGCCACATGGATAACACACAGATATTACCACTACCCTAGGAGAGGGGCTTTCCTGAGCCCTTTAGATTCTGAATGACCTCCAGGCATTCTAAGCAGTTTCCTCACCTTTCTGATTGCTGATACCTCTGACCCAAGGGGCAGTGGATGGAAGTTTCCTTTCCAGCCACCTGTGTATCAACACCCTAAACTCCACTCCACATGTTATCATTCCTTCATTTTCTAAGGTCACACTTCCCCTACATTCAGACAAGTCTCACTGATCTCTCAGGGTTCACCTGAAACATCACTTTCCCAGGCCTTCCCCTTACTGCCCAGTTTATACTTTAAGTTTTTGTTTTCTATAACACTCATTTCACTTGTAACCACTTGTGTCATCCCCAACTGGAGGACTCTAAGTTTCATGAGGGTAGGCATCAAGCCTATTTGTTTCCCTCTCTATCCCCAGCACCTTGCTTGGGGACTGACACGTAACGGATGCTTATCAAATATTTGTTGAATGAATGTTTGTTGAGCCTACAAACTTTCATTCTCAAATGGTGTTTATGTAGTATTAGTAATAATTTCCTACATAGTTTAATGGCTTACCAAACATCTTTATGAGTTAGTGTCTCAATTTTGGGGTAAAGGCAGTGCAGGTAATATTCTCCCAATTTTTTAGAAAATAAAACACCACCTATGAGGTTGTCTGACTTGATTAAGGCAGTGGTTCCAACATTAGAATTCAAATGCATATCTGTATTAAAATTCTGACTATAAATTTTGTGTCACTTACCAGCTGTTAACCAGATGCTCTGGCCATGGAGCGAAATATGGGTAGCTAGTGGAAGAGAACAGTGGAAAGAACAGGGAGAAGCGAAAGCCAGGCCTTGGAGGATTTCCTTTCCTCCAGTGCCTGCTTGATTCCTACGCAGGATTGCTTTGTCTATCCTGGGAGTTGAGACCCTCAATAAGTCTCTCAATGACTTGAGGTTGGGCCAGAGAGCAAGTGAGGCCAGTGAATCCTCACCTTCTGGGGAGGAGAGAAATGAGAGCTGGGACACAGGGCACTCACCCACAGTAGTGTGTATGTGCACACTCACATCTGGACAAAATCCACGCCAAGGCATGCATACAAATCAACACAGAATGAGCCACTGCACAGTCATACACATTTAAATATGCACCCCACATACAGATGTCTAGCCACTATCGTGTACATCCAGCCGCTGATGTGCACTCCAGTTGTACACCAAGCTGCCATCTTGGACATGTGCATGCACGTGTGCATACACCGAACAGCCCTGATGAAAAATTTGGATAAACGCACTTTTGCACATACACAACTAAACACATCCATATGATTTATCATCACACTCAAGTCCATGCACACCTTTGCAAACGTGTGGGAAACAATCACTCTGATCACTGGTGCACAAAACCTCCAAATACACTAACAAGCTCTACCCGCGCAGAGATGCATCGACACACCCGAGTTGTCATCAGCACTGCAAGTTTTTTCCAAACAGCTGCTAAAAAGAGAATGCTGCGCTGCGGGCCAGCCCACGTGACCGGGAGGAAGGCTCTCCCGCCCATGACGGGATGGGAAAACTATGCCTGGGGCCGGCGCTCGGCCCGGCTGCTGCCGCCGAGGAAAGCCGGGACGCGGAGCCCCGCCGAGAGCTTCTTTGCTCCGGACGCCCCTGGACGTGGCGGGCAGCCGCGAGGGTGAGTGGCCCGCACCGCGGTCGGGCGGGGGCGGCAAGTGCGCGCGGGGAGGAGGAGGACTCGCACTGCTGCGGGCGGGGCAGGATGCGGAAGGCAGGAGAGCTGCCAGCGCGCCTTTATTGCGGGTTGGGCAGCTCCCGCATTCCTGCCTCTCGACTTCTGCCTTCTGTATTATAACACAAATTAACATGTTTTGAGTCCTTACTGTGTGCCAGGCTCTGTGCCCAGTGGTTTACCCGTTACAATAGTAATACCCGTAGCTCTGCCATTTATTGAGCGCCTACTTTGTGCCAAGTCCTGCCAGCACTGCACTTGTGCTCTTTCATTTTCATGACAACAGATTATCCCCGTCTACAAAAGCGGGCTCAGAGACATTAATGATTTGGACAGGGTTGCACAGCTAGTAACTGATGAAAAAGGGACTTGAAGTCTGGTAAATCTGAGTCCAATACCCAAGCTAACAATCACAGTTAACATTTACTGAATGCATTATTTCATTTAATCTTCACATTTATTTAAATATATGATACAGACTGGCAAACTGAGCTCAAAAGGTATTGAACAGCAGGCAGAGATTTGTACCCAATGCTTCTTGATTCTCTTCACTCTCCTTCCCTGCCTAAACTACTTGTCTTAATATGCTTTGTCCTTACTTCATCCCCACTGCTGCTGCCGCATTGTAGGACCTCGCTTTTCAGCTAAATAATTGCAGTGGGCCCTAATACTCTCCCAACCCAAGGCTCTCCTCTGACACCATGAGTCCCTTGCACTACCTCATTGTGATCCTCCTCTGCTCCTTGACCACAAAACTGCCCTGCTTGGAAGCCTGCAGCGGTCCCTTCCTTAGACTGGCCATTTCTCAGAGACCCTGTGTTTCCACCATGCTGAAGTAGCAGTAATAGAAAGACAATGTCCTACGTAGGGCAACCCAAAGCTGGTGCTCAGTTAGCATTGTTAAAAATCTGTCCTCTTACATCTTTATTTTTGCCTTCCTTCTGCACCATTCTCTAATTTATTCTGTCATCTGGAGCAATTATATCAATTACTCCTGCTTTCAACTGCCCGATCCTCAGACTCTCCGCACATTTCCTAGCATCACTACAGCCCTTCATTGTAACACATCAGATTCACTGCAGAATTTGTTTCCTCCCAAATGTCTGACTTCTCCCCGTCTCCTAGCAGGGATACCACACTTACCTGTCTTCCAAACCTTAGGGTTACCTTTTGTTTTAAATGTTATAAAGTAACGATGCTCATCACAGGAAATTTGAACAGTTCAAAAGGTAGAAAGAGAAAAGTAGGCCGGGTGCGGTGGCTCAAGCCTGTAATCCCAGCACTTTGGGAGGCCGACACGGGCGGATCACGAGGTCGGGAGATGGAGACTATCCTGGCTAACACGGTGAAACCCCGTCTCTACTAAAAAATACAAAAAACTAGCCGGGCGAGGTGGCGGGCGCCTGTAGTCCCAGCTACTCGGGAGGCTGAGGCAGGAGAATGGCGTAAACCCGGGAGGCGGAGCTTGCAGTGAGCTGAGATCCGGCCACTGCACTCCAGCCTGGGCGACAGAGCGAGACTCCGTCTCAAAAAAAAAAAAAGAGAAAAGTAAAAGCCTACACACTCCCTCCCAATTCTGAAAGGTAACCCCTTTAACAAGATTTTGTGTCTTTTCAGAAAGTATTTCCCCAACCCTTCTGTACTATATATACTCTGTATTTGTGCTTTTTTTTTTTTTTTTTTTTTAACTCAAAGAGAAGCATACTTTACATTCCATGGTACAACTTGCTTTTTTCACTTAACAGTGTGTCTTCGCCATGTTTACATATCTACATATACAGGCCTACTTTATTCTTCTAATGGTGTCATAGTGTGTCATTGTATGGATGAACTGAGATTATTTTTCACAAGGCTAGAGTCATCTTTGAAGCCACTCTGTCTCCATCGAATATTCAGCAAGTTCTCCAAGATGTCACTTTTTTCTCTGCAAATCTCCCTATTCTTCTCTCTTGTCTCTCTATTCCTTCTCTTATCCTGACCTTACTGATCAAATAGTCTCTCTTGCTGTCTCAATCACTGATGCGTCCTACTCCTGAATGTTCACTATGGGGTAACAGAGTCCCTCTCCACACCCACAGCTTCACCCACTCCTTCTTCCAGGTCAAAGGCCTGCCAACCTTAATTTGCCTCTATGAGATGAACTCTTGCATAAATCAAACTTCTATTAGTTACATTCTATTTTTGCTTTTCTTTTTTTTTTTTGAGATGGAATCTTGCTCTGTCGCCCAGGCTGGAGTACAATGGCATGATCTCGGCTCACTGCCATCTCCACCTCCTGGGTTCAAGCAATTCTTCTGCCTCAGTCTCCTGAGTAGCTGGGACTACAGGTGCACGCTACCACAACCAGCTAATTTTTGTATTTTTAGTAGAGACAGGGTTTCACCATATTGGCCAGACTGGTCTCGAACTCCTGACCTCGTGATCCGCCCGCCTCAGCCTCCCAAAGAGCTGGGATTACAGGCATGAGCCACCACGCTCGGCCCATTCTAGCTTTTCTTTTGAAAGGAATTCTGTGCCAAATATTTATTCAAGCAAATAACCTTCCCATGATTTGTTCACTTCTATTAAGTGGCTTACTCCTGTAACACACATACACATGCGCATACACATCACTGCCCTGTTAGTAACTCCCCTGTTAGCTGAGGGGCCATGGTAGAGGAACTTGAGCTCTGGGCCCCTAGCCAGCAGGACTGAGTTCCACACAAACTTTGACCTAGGAAAAGTAATTTTTCCCTTTTCTGAGCTCTGTTTTCTCTTCTGCCAAGTGGAGATGACAGTATCAGCCTCTTAGAAGTGTGGGGAGAATTAAGGGAGATATGAACATCAAAACTTTGAAATAAGAACACACAACATACATGGAGAATCATTACTCTTTTCCTCTAGGTTAGGGGTTGTAAACCCAGATACTGACAGGGGCTGTGCGCAATGTGTATGGGAATGGGATGCATAATATTTGGGAGCGGTGAGGACTGTGAACACTCTAGAACACAGGCTGTCTGTCCTAGTCAGCGTGGGTCACCATGACAATACCACAGTCTGGGGACATGCAACAATAGACATTTATGAGACCTAGAGAGATTAAATAACTTGCCCAAGGTCAAACAGCTAGAAAATGACTTAACCACCAGACCAGCTCATGCTTCTCTAAGGATAGACCTGTATCTGATTTTTTTTTTTTCTTTGTAGAGCTGGTGGGGTGAGGGGAGGGGGGGGTCTCACTTTGTTGGCCAAACTGGTCTCAAACTCCTGTCTTCAAGTGATCGCCCACCTCAGCCTCCCAAAGTACCGGCATTCTAGATGTGAGCCATTGTGCCCGGCCCTGTATCAGAAGTTTAGGGTTACTCTGAACGCCCATCAGGGCCTGACCAGAAATGACTCCATGGAAGTTCTTGGGCTCACCCGGAAAAGTCAAGGAAAACTTAGCCTTTTCTCCCTGACCTCTTCAAAGTTCAGAATTTGTTTCTCTCCCTCAGTTCTTAGATCTTGTAGTCCCTTTTATGTCATTCCCAGGGATTGTTGTCTCACCCCAAAATTTCCTTCCCCTGCCGCCTGCCTGGTCTTGGATGCTGTTACATCTAGATGCCGTTGGGCGCCTATTACAAAGGAAAAGGAGAGTGAGGCTCTTTTTTCCTGGTCACACAGGTGTGCCGGCTGGATGCTCAGGTAAGCAGATCATTATAACCTGCCCAGGTAGTTCTAGGGATCAGAGTGGGCCCTACAGGAGCAGCAACTACATCTTTTCACCTCCAAATCCCCAGTGTCCGGCCTCAAAGGCAATAATAATAAACCATACTATTTATTGGGTAGCCATGTGCCAGGCCACAGTATCATGCACACATACACACCTGATATCCCATTTGGCCCTGTCACTTGATGAGATAAGCACCATCCCGTTTCTTCTCTGGTCTCTGTATTATGGAGCACGGACACGCCAGGTGGCTCAAAGTCGTGAAGCCAAGGCAACACCCCATCCTTTCCTCAGAGCAGAAACAGCAGGGCAGGAACAAAAGCTCAGCCTCCCTAGGACTTTTTTTTTGGTAGCACCTGACAGAGCCATAACTCAAAGTAACTTAAGTGAAAATGGGAGTTAATGAGAAGCTACCGGAGTCTCTACCTGAAATGCATGCAGGACCAGGGTGGCAGAGCAGGACTGGTTTTTGTTAGTTCAACTGCAGTTAGTGGCAATTACAATTTTAAACAAGGTCTTAAAACTTGCATCGTCACGTTCAACATCCATTATCTTGTTTGATTTTCGGAAGGGCAAGAAATAATAAAATAATAGAAGCTAATGCTTTTATACCTCTTGCCATATGCCAGGTCTTATTCTAGAAACATTAAATTCTCATAACAACTGTCTAAGGTAGGTTCTATGATAATCGTGTTCATGTTGGAGAGGAGGAGACTGAAGGGGAGAGATTAAATAACGTGTGAAGGTACCACAGCTAGTTCATGGCATCTGAACCCACACAGCTATGCTGGAGCTGTTGTAGAAGCCAGCATGCGGCTATTGAAGACTTGAAATGCTCCAGTCTGATTTGAGATCCGCTGCAAGTGTGAAATACATCACTAGGCTTCAAAGACTTAGTACTAAGAATGTACAATGTCTCATTCATAATTTTTATGGTGATTACATGTTGAAATGATGATATTTGGGAAATAATGGGCTAAATAGCGTTGAAATTAATTTCACCTGCTTCTTTTTTACTTTCTTAATGTGACTGCAAGACAGACTGACACGTGTGACTTGCATCATTTTCCTATTGGGCCGAGCTGCTCACACCCACTCCCCCACTGCTGTGGTCAGGCACGTGGAGACGGGCCCTGGGGATGCGATACGGGGATGTGAACACCCTCAGCCGCCTTCTCTCCCCCTCACATCTCTCACAGCTGCTGCATTCTTCTCTCCCACAGCAGTCCTTGGTCTCCACGCGGCAGAAAACAGCTGT